AAGGCTATTCGTACCCCTGGCCAGTGGTCCAAGAGATTTTGTTTTTATCACAGTGGTTTAACAACTGTCTTTCAAGGTTGTAATTGCCATTTAAAATACTCAGCAAAATTAGGTATACATTTATATCTTCTTTCACCACCAAGGACTTTGCATCTTCAAGAATTACAGGCACAAGAGGCAAATAGTATAACGGACCCAGTTTTGTGATATCGGCACTCACAAGCAGTAATCTTTGAGTGGATCCACGGGCAGACAAGCAAGATGGAAGGTGTCAGTCAGCAGATGGGACTGCCTACAACCAGAGGAGGGTGCTTCCAAACGTTCCTGGAGAAGTGGAATTCCACCACACTGTAGTTTTCCTATGAGCTTTCTAAGTCCCCTCGTCCATATTTACATGCGCTGAAATCCATCTCCATATATATATATATGGACCACTGTCCAGGGGTACGAATAGCCTTGCTCTCAGACAGTGGATCAGAAGTGAACTAATGCAGTTATAGTTAGATTAAATTTTAACATCTTATCATTTTGTTTCCTGTTTGAACCATTTTTAATTTGTCCTATATATATATAGTAGAGCAAATGTGGCAAAGTTCTGAAAACTTAGACCTTGAAGGAATGAATCACTGGCTTTGGACCACAGCCTTGAGTGACGACAGCCGAGTCAATTGCACAGGACCGTCCCCAGAGACAGTGTTTTATACCTTGTGTGATAAGTGGTGACTGAGGGTTTAAAAACTAGTGAACAAAATGTTCCCGTTGTGTGGAAGGAAGAGTGACGGAAATCAAAGGCTCAAGTAAACAATGAGTCCAGAGGACTAACTGACCACGTGAACCACAGCCTCTCCAACCTGAGCCTGGAGGAACTAGGGGGTGCCCACCTGCCACTACCCAGATGCTCACGTGGCGACCACAGAAGGTCCTGGGCAGGATGGGAGAAGCGTGTAGAAAATCATTCAATTCCGTAGACACGATCCGACCTATTGGTCCGAGAGTGACTGTGGCCCTTTGACCCCTCGGACAGCAAGACTCATGGAGAACGTGCCGTTGGGACGTGATCAACCTTGCGAGGCAAACACTCAGCGTGTGCCCAGGAACAAAGCTCAGAGGACACGAGAGAAGGATGCCTGGACACAGGGTACCCAGGGAGGAAGCATGCAAAAAAAATGACCACTAATGTTAGGAAGGGAAATGTGTATAACTTTCACCCAGACCGTAATAAAAAAAACCATCAAGGTAAAAACCTTTTCATGTCATGTGTGCTTCTGCTTGTTACTATGCTAGGCTGCTATGGAACCTTCTCCACCATCAGTGGCTGTGTGTCCATGTCCCCGAGAGTGCCCTGTGCCCAACCGAATGAAACCCTGCCCAGCCATGTCCGAAGCATGAGAGAGTCTCGCCATCCTTGCTTCTAAGGAGCATCGTGTCTCCCAGGACAAATTTGTTCTTTTGTCCGCCCATGGTGCTTTCAGTATTCTTTGCCAAGTTAGGTAGACATCATCTTCCTACAGGCATTTAGGGGCCTCCTTTCTGCGTCCTCATCTTATTGGACAGTGCCTGTGCCATTCATCACCATGGAGCTGGGACCTTTAAGAGACCCTTAACATCTTCGCCTTAAATATTTCAGCCTCTTTTAGTGCTTTCACTTGAAATTCAAAGTCTATTTCACTTTTATCTGAAGCCCCTGGGAGCCAGCCAGCACTGGGGGTCCGGGGGAGTTTCTGGTGCTGTTCTGTGTGCCTGGATTCTTGTATGTGTGCTTCCCTCCTATCCCCTTAAACGCTGGACCTATTTCCTAATCCTTAAAGCAGAACAGAAACCCAAGCTTTCTCAGAAGAATTACAGCCAGAATGTTCCTTAGAATTGAGGATCGCAAGACTGCGCACAAACTCTGGGCATGTTACCGGGAGGGACCGGTCCCTGGAGAAGGACGCCGTGCTTGGTAGAGTAGAGGGCCAGTGAAAAAGAGGAAGGACCTCAAGATGGCTTGAGCGAGTGGGCGCCCCTGTGGGCTCCCTCATAACAGTGGTAAGGGCGGCACGGGATAGGGCGGCATTTTATTCTGTTCGATTATCCGTAGAGTCTCAATGACTTGGAACTGATTTAATGGCACCAAACAACAAATGATCATGACAGTAATTGTACAATTTTGCTTGATCTCATGGTACTATGGATTGTAATAATATCTGTAAGAGCTCCTAATGTTTTTTTTAAAACCCCCCAAAACAAAGTAGCCGAGGTGGTTAAGTGCTGTGGAAAGGGTGGCTGAGACTGCAGTTGACAGAGGGTCAGTCTGCTTCTACGGAGATGGAGCCTGGGAAACCGTGTGGGACAAGTTTACTGTGCCATCACTGGAAAGGGACCTGATGCCACCCAACACCCACGTAGCCCGACATCACCCTGCAACGTGTTTTGGACTCCCCAGGATCCTACAAGCCTTCAGCTCTCCTAAGTCATCGCACCTTATGGGATGACTTCTAGCCACGGACTCCTGCTCCCTGCTTGGTTCTCAGTGAATCTCTACAGGGTGCCGGTGCTTCCCGCGTGCTCTCATGCATCACCCCCGCGTGGCTCCAGCTCCCGGTGTCCACGTGCTCAGCTGCCGTCCTGTCTGACTCCCGAGCGCGGGACACTCACCATGTTCTGCGTTAGAGTGTCTGTGGCCTCCTCCTCACCTCCAGCTTCCTAGCAGCACGGGTGGCTCAGGCTGAGAGAGAGGGATTGTAGGTTTCCCGGGGTCCGTGACAATGAGGGCAACAAGAATACACGTCTCGTGCAAGCAGATCGAAGTCTAAGTTGAGGCACTGAGAAAAGGGCCCCCGACGATGGGATTAAATAATCAAGGGTGAGCTTCTTGGGTTAAAAAGGGAGTTGCTCTGGAATGGATTTTTCAGAAAGTTCACAGCTCTGAACTGCAATCTGTCTCAGTAGAACTTATTCCCACGTGGCGTGATTGTATTTTGGGGTTTAGACAGTGATTTTTTTTTTTCCTAGCGGCTCCCTGTCTCCAATGACAGGAACTATTTTCAGAATAGTTACCTGCAGAGATTGTCCGGAGCCGCAGAGAGTCAGCAGCACCACCCTCGGTGCTTCTTGAGGGCCCAGAGGTCGTGGTTTTCTTCATGCTGGTGCCCCGGGCCACTCAGGGCCTGGCCCCTGATGGGCAGAAACAACCAGACGGAGACCCAGGCTCGTGGCGCGCTCCCCACAGCCTTCTGTGCCGTGACTGCTGGGTGGCCTTTCTCCCATGCTCCTCCTCCCTTCCCCCCAGGAACCCAGCCTCGAGACATGTCTGCCCCTCCCATTTTAGGGTTCCAGCTGTTTTGGCCGCCCACCCCCACCCAGACCTGTTTCACCCAGCTCCCTGCCTGGTGGGCTCCCCGCCTGCTTTGACGTTTTTTGCACAAATGGTTGCTCTTCACAGAGGCGTTTCCTACCATCTTTTTTTTTGTCACAAATCGTTAAGTTCACAGAACATAAAGTGTGCAGTTCACAATGTCTTGTCGTCGTCACGTCTGTCTAGTAGTTCCTGAACACTTCCTCAGCCCACAGAGAACTGGTCACGAAGCCGTCATTTCCTCTCCCCCTCCTCCCCCAGCCCTGGTAGCCCCTGCTGCCCTCTGTGTCTCTGGACCAACTGCTCTATAACCAGTGTCACTGGCGCCCTCGTCCCCTCCTGGGCCGCTCATCCCCACGATGTCGTCTGTCCTTGATGCTTCCCATCGCGTTCCCGCCCTAGGCAGGCAGGGGCTTTGCTGTGTGGACTACTCTAGTGCCCGCAGCACAAGAGATATTCAGGAAATGTTTGCTGAGTGAGTGCGTGGATCATTGGACTCATGAGTGAAGGCTTGTGAGCTGAGATTCGTTGTAGCCGCCGAACTCTTGTCTGCATCAAAGGAGAGTTAAGAGTGTTACTTTAAGTAACTATCCCCATCAAGTGCTTAGCCCTCGGTAGTTCGTATTATTTAGTCTTATGTTCTCTGAGACCCCAAACTCCTGGCACCATTGACTCCTCTGTCACATGCAGGACAGATCTCGGTGCCTCCCCGGTCCCACCATCAGGTGCTTGCTTTCCCATGAAGTGCGAGGCCTTGTATGAGTGTCCCTGCTGTGTCTCGTAACCCTAGGGAGAGCAGCAGCTGTCCACTTAACCTTTAGGGATCTTGTCCTTTTGTTGGGCGGCAGTAGGAAAGGCAAAGGCGGACAGAGTTGTTACAGATTCTGGTCAGAAGCGGCACCCAAACAGAAGGTCGACACATGTGAACCCCACATTAATAGCCACCTTTAGTGGCTTCATCAAGGTTCAGACACACTGACTTTTTCCAAGGTCATTTCTTGTTTGGCTCATCTGCATGTAATGATGTAGGTTCCTGCTAGCTGCTGAACACGTGCCATTTTTGCCATGTGCTGAACTCCATAATGATCCTCCACGATATTGGTATGGATTCTTCTGCTTCGTTCATCATGGCAGGTGCAGCCCATTAAAGCAAAACAAAAAAATTAGACCATACAGCAACAACGGCTTATTGAAACAGCCCTCGATAGCTCATAAGAGCTTCGAATTTCCGTTAACACGGCAACACCACATCTCAAGAACCCTCGCGTGCTAACCCTTGAAGGAGTGATGGCCTATTTTAAAGACATTCCAGGGGTCTGTATACTAGAAGCTGGGCCCGAATGTGAGCTACTGGTGCATGGATTCAGGGTGGGTGCTTTAAAATGTTACTGTATCATTATTTTAGAGCCGCACCTCATAAGAGGAGCCCTGTATCATTTGTAGCGGTGTTAGTGCCATTGTAGTAAATGAGGTGGCTCAGGAGCACCGTTCATCAGGGAAACAACTGGCTCTCTTCCGACAGGGCACCTGGTTACAGGCACATCATCTTCTTAGAGTGATACCTGTCCGTCACCCCCCCAACCCCCAGGCTGTTGTCTCCTTCTGTGACTTGCTGGCGATGGAATAGCCTCACTGGTTTTCCCTCCCTCTCTGCCCCCCCCAGACGGAGGCAAGGAGGTGCTGTCCATGCACCAGATCCTCCTCTACCTGCTGCGCTGCAGCAAAGCCCTGGTGCCCGAGGAGGAGATCGCCAACATGCTTCAGTGGGAGGAGCTGGAGTGGCAGAAGTACGCGGAGGAATGCAAAGGCATGATCGTCACCAACCCCGGCACGGTGAGTGGCTCCCGAGGGGGGTGGGTCAGCAAAGCAGTGAGAGAGCATCCGAGATGCTTTTAAGCATTCGTTGACCCTTTGGTGTTGTAAGTAGTCTAACGACCCTTTGGGTAATTTTCCTTCCACATACTGAATAAGGAAGGAAAGATTTTATAATGTAGCTGTACTTGGTAGGAAGCACAGCTGATTCGTAAGCTTATGCTGCCCACTCTGGAACCTACTGAAGCTCAGAATTGTAGAAGGGCTTACATGGGATTCCTCCCCTGCCCTGAGTATAAAAATAGTACATGTATTTTGACTATAGAAAGTTGTGAAATTGAAGAATGGCTCCAAGACGACCAGGACTTAGTTTTCTGGCGATGACCCCATTTGCTTTTCCAGTCATTTGAACATACAGCGCTGCCTTGCCGAACGCCCGTGACCTGTTCTGGGAGAGGGAGGGGACGTGTTATGATTTGAACCTTGTGCCAATATCATATGGTACGAGGCACTTTCAAAAAGTTCGCTCCCACTACCATGACTCAAATTCGATCTTGCAAGACTGGCTAGACCAGAGGAGGTACACTGGTACAGATAGGAACTGAAAATACAGGGAATCCAGGACGGATG